TTTCAAACTCTGTTTACATGTGAATGACTGTACACGCCATATTTAGAAGATTTGGGATATTTGATATTGTCCAAGTATGGTAGCCTAGCTAAAATTATATTGTTGCCTTGCACTGCCCACGGGAATGGGGAATAAATTCGTCCTTGTCGATTATGGGGAATTCCTGCCCCATACAGGACAGGTCCCTGCAAAATTGGGCCACATTGCCATCTTTATATATACATCGTAACAGTCTATTGAATTAGCAACGTGGGACAAATACAACTCCTAAAATAGAACATGCAATATTTTTATCATAAAATGAGAATTATATTCAATTTTTTGTTTAAATCCTTCAAGCGCAAATCCTTCAAAATGCATCCTTTCAAACAAAAAGAACAGCCTCTTCAAATGTCCACTATGATTAAACCCTGCAATAATACCATTCCAAGACGACACATTGGGTTCCACTCGTAAACGACCCATCTCATTAAAGAGCTTTTTTCGCCACATGCATGCACCCTTGTCGCGCATAAGCCGCAAGCAGCGCACTAAAAGTTTTCACATCCAGTTGGGCTAAACTGTCAAACACTTTGTGAGCGTACCCTAAATTTTCGAATAAAAATCCACTAAACTATATTTGGCAGTTCGCATTAAAAAAACTTGTAAATAAAATAAAATAAAAGCAAAAAAAGAACTTACGGTGAAAGAGAGTTGGAAGCTGCGAAGAAGACAATGGAGAGGAGAGGTTGTCAAGCAGTTTTTGTATGAGCGAGTAAAAGGGAAAAAATTGACTCAAAAGAGATGAAAGAAATTTTGACAGCTGGTCAAATCTCTGGAAGCAACACTGACTAAATATATGACTGACATAAAGAGATAACACATTAATAATGTCAGCTAGTCAATTGTTTAAATTACTTAAAGTATATGCAACTGTGAACAAATTTTGATCACACTCTGTACTTCACTAATTTGTTGCAGCCCAGGTTGCCAATTTGCCTATACTCCCACCATACATGCAACCGGGGACTCATCAATTCACTGATGGGACTAACTTTGCTTCTGCTGGAGCCAGTGTTCTCGATGCAACTCATCCTGGAATAGTATAAGCCTTTTGTTTTTCCATGGTGGAAAGTTAGGCTTAATAGTGGGAATTAGTAGTTTGATTGTTGTTCTTTTGTTTTGCAGATACATCTGAAATTGCAGCTTAGCTACTTTAAGGGTGATAAAGAGGCCAAGAAGGTGTTGGGGAATGCTGTTTATCTGTTTAGCATTGGAGGGAATGATTACTTCAGCTTTTCCTCTATGAACCGCAAAGCTTCTCAGTCCTCCAAGGGTCAATATGTTAAATCAGTTAATGGCAACTTAACATCTGTGCTCACAGTCAGTAACATTTGTCACAGTTTTAAACTTAATTTTGTTCTAATCAGAGGATAACCAAGAGTTCATGTTCTAATTTTATTTTGTTAATTCCACTGCAGGAGATATATCATGTGGGAGGAAGGAAAATCGCATTCCAAAATGCAGGGAAATTGGGTTGCCTACCAATGATGAAATCACTTGATCCAACATTTGGAAGTGCTTGTTCAGAAGCACCCTCATCACTTGCAAGACTACACAACAGATATCTGGCTGTATTCTTAAGCTATCAACCCAGTTGCCAGGATTCAAATATTCCATCTTTGATTGCTACAATGCAATTGGTGACAGATTTGCTTACCCTTCAAAATATGGTAAGTTATTATGACCTCTACTTTCATCAGCCATGTAATTAATTTTTACTTCCTCTTATATTCCTTAATCGTGATCTGTGTTGTAATTTGTTGGCTATGCTTTATTTTGTGAAGGATTCAAAGAGGGGAAGGCCGCCTGCTGTGGCAGTGGGACTTGCAGAGGAATGAATTGTGGGAAAACAATAAATGGGACACAGTCTTTTGAGGTGTGCAGTGATCCTAAAGAATATGTGTGGTTTGATGGTGGACATACTACAGAAAATACTAATACCCGGCTATCTCAGCTGTGCTGGAATGGAGCACCACTGGTCACGAGGCCTTCAAATATGAAACAGCTATTCAGTCTCTGATCACTGTATTATCTTATACATGTATTCAGATTAGAGCAGCTGCTTATTTTATTCTTAGAGCACTGCAGCACATTCCATTGATATTATGTAGTTATGTAGTACACATTCTCATTGTTTTAATAAAATTATTACATTTTATAGTTATTTGGAAGAATTAATTGTTCTTGGAGACAACTCTATCAGAAATCTATAAAAACGTTTCACAGCATTGTCAGGATGTTCACATTTATTCATGTGCCTTTGAAGTTTCATAGGTTGACTTCAGACTTGGTGAAAACGACTTGGATAAAGACAAGTCACAAGGCATGTTAGTAATATGCTAGCATAATAGATGGCAAAGTTTTGTCAGGGAAATTTGATTGATTCCAGAGCAAGTTACTGAAGAATTTTATTGAAACTAATCAGACTGCATAATCTGAATAAGCATACAAGATAGTCTAATAATCAAAGGTTAAAAAGTTGTTTCATATTGTGAGGCCCTGTGACTGGTGGTGCTCCATTCCAAAGCAGCTGAGCTAGTTGAGTGTTAGCTCTTTCTGTAGTATGTCCACCATCAAACCAAACATATTCTCCAGGATTACTGCATAACTCAAAGGATTGAGTCCCATTTATTGTGTTCCCACATTTGAATCCTTCACAACATAAAACCCCGAAAACAAATTACAACACAGATTATGTAAAAATTAATTACATTTTAATGAAAGTTGAGGCCATAACGTACCATATTTTGAAGGGTTAGCAACTCTGTCACCAAGTGCACTGTAGTAATCAAATATTGCATATTTGAATCCTGGGAACTGGGTTGACATCTTCTTAAGGACAACAGCTAGATATCTGTTGTGTAGTCTTGCTAGTGATGAGGGCTCCTCAGAGCAAGCACTTCCAAGCTTAGGATCAAAAGATTTCATTCCTGGTAGGCAACCCAATGGCCCTGCATTTTGAAATGCAATTTTCCTCCCTCCTATATTATATATCTCCTGCAGACAAATTTACAACATGAACTCTTAGTTATCATCTAAATATTACAAAATTAAGTTTAAAACTCTGACAAATGACTTACTTTGAGCACGGATGTTAAGTTTCCAATGACTGTTTTAACATATTGACCCTTGGTGGACTGAGAAGCTCTGGGGTTTGTCTGAGAAAAGCTGAAGTAATCATTGCCTCCAATGCTAAACAAATAAACCGCATTCCTCAACACCCTATTGGCTTCTGCTTCACCTAGTTTCTGCTTCAGGGATTTCGCCACATCCTTAAAATAGCTTAGCTGCAACCTCAGACGTATCTGCAAAAAAGAGACACAAATAGGTTAAATTTCTGTTCAGGTTATATATATTACTTAATTTTATACAAAATACAGAAAACAAAGATGCATACCGTTCCAGGATGAGTTTCATCGAGAACTCCAGCTCCAGCAGAAGCAAAGTTTGCCCCATCAGTGAATTGATGAGCACCCGGTTGCAGGTATGGTGCAAGTATAGGCAAATTGGCAAACTGGGCTGCAACAATTTAATGAAGTATAAACTATCAAAATTCACTCGAAGTAATTCATTGATACATCAAGCAATTGAAGCAATTGACTAGCTAACATTATTAATGTGTTGTACCAATCAAATCAGGCACTGTGCGGCCATCAGAAAGTCTTCCAGTGGGGCGTTTGAAGTAGGTTTCTCCATAAGGAAAGGTTGTTGCAATTCCTTTTCTGCTGACATTTAGATACTGGTTGTTGCCAGGATCAAACAAGGAGTCTCCAAACACAAACAAGGCTTTACGTGTTGCAGCTCCAGGCTTTGACTGAGCATGGCAACTAATTGGATTAAGAAGACAAATAAGAGTATCCGATAACAAAGGAATCTCAGACTTGCCATTGAATCCTGTTGTAGTTTGCAAGTAGGAACCATTAATCAATATTTGGTGGTGGTGGTGGTGGTCACATGGCAATTGCTTTTAAAATGGTGAGTGGAGAGTGTGAATATAAGAAGCAAAGTTTGACTTATGGATACTGAATGTGGGCTTGGGGGCCATGCCACTTAACCAGTGGTGGGCACTGTTTGATGTGTTAAGTTTTTTGTTTCTTACAAACAAGTAGAATTTGGGTTATTTTGTAAATTACTTGAAGAATCATCTTTATGTTATGGTTCAAAGGCCACTTAAAACTTTTAAATAACTGATTTCTTCTCTAATTGTGTTTGGCTGATGAGAAATATATATCTATCCTCATCTTCAATATTAAGATGGGAATTCAACAATAAGAGGCAACGTCGTTAGGCTTGTAGGCAGTTTGGGCTTTTTTCATGAAGAGTTGTTGAACGATTTCTCTAAGTTATTATTTCATTATTGGGTTTGGGCTTAGGAATATGAATTCTTGTACTATTAGGTTTAATATTTTAAACTTAGTATATAAACATTTTTTTCTCTTAGTATAAGTGTGATTGAAAATCATAGGGTAAATAGTAGTCATTGTAAACGAGAAAGGTGAAACAATATCACGTAGCCTATTAATTGGGTGAACCAAGGTAAATCACACATATTTCTTCTTTCTCTTTACTGTTTGTGGTTTGTGTGTGTTTACTGTTTTTTTGGTTTCATATTAATCTAGATTGTCTCATTCTTGAGCCATTCAAGTAAATTATTTAAGAAAAATAATTAATGTTCAATCGGCACCACAAGTTTTGGATAAGATATTGTATGCTTTTGACACACAATTCTCGTACTTCTGTCTTTATATACTCATCCAAGAATTAATTTGTGTCAAGTTAACATTGTGAGTATATGAGCATTTTATGTGGTCTATGAGATACGAACATTAAACGTACCATCGTCTATCGTCATCAATGTAATTGTTGACTTATCATATTGGTCCTTAATATATTACAATAATGTTTGATGTGCAAACAAATCTTACAAAGATTTGTATACAAACTGATGTGACAGGAAATGATTAAAAATGAAAATTTAAAATGTTGTCAAAGATTTTTTTTGAAATTACTGAAATGAAAACTAGAAATTAACAACAATCTCAAGATCAGATATCCCAAGAGAACTTTTGTCACACGAGTCTTAGACCTATGGCTACGGACAAGAAATCCCAATCACCTTATTTTTCTGGGAACATGACATATTACATGCATGCATCCCCTTTATTTAATTGGATCTCTCCGAGCCTACATATATTTAGAGATTAAACAACATCTCGACATTGTAACAAGGTCCTGTGACATGTTTTGGTCCTCTCCACATCAGCTGTGCTAGTTGAAAGTTAGCTCTATCAGTATGATGACCCCCATCAAAATAAACATACTCATTCACATCTTCGCATAAATTGAAATGTTCCTGAGTACTACTGCAATTTTCTCCATTCAGTACTCCACTGCCACAGCATGCAACATTTCCTACCTTGAAGCCTGAAGGAAGATCAACAAAAAACCATAATCAATTTAATAATAATCTTGCCAATTAATTAAACACGTACAATAAAAAACAATGGTTGATTGATGCATTGATAATTACCATGCTCTGTGGGATGAAGAGTTCTGTCACGAAGAGCATTGTAGTAATCAAATAATGCATATTTGAAACCAGGGTGTTTAAGCTCAAATTGCTCCAGGACAGTAGCTAGGAAACTGTTGTGCAATGTTGCCTGGCTCATGAATCTATCTACACAATCAACCTCTACGTTATTGGTTCTTTGTCTGACATTTGGCATGCAACCCAAAGGTCCAACATTCTGGAACCCAATTTTCCTTACTTAGGCATTAAATTCCTACAAAAATCGCAAATATATATAATTATATGTACATAAGTTAATATATAAGGGTTGGAAATATCTTACTTCGAGTGCAGCTGTATAATTCCCATCACCTGCCCTACAAGTTCAACCTGCCGGAAAGAGTAGGATCTCTGTTCATGTTTTAACCTCATGTAGTCGTTGCTCCTATGTGAACAAGAACACAGATCTGTGCAAAAGACTTTGGTTTCCTGTGGCCTAATATCTGTTCCAATGTTGTACGAAGGTCTTGAAATATTGAATTGTACTCCAAGGTTAATCTGAAACATGTACAAAAAACTTTATATATAATATATATGTGCTGACATGAAACACACTGAGGAAGAAGAAGAAGATTACCGCCGTCTCACTCTCGCCAAGAACACCTGCCCCGGCTGAAGCAAAGTTGATTCCATCAATAAATACACCTCCTTCTCCAGGTATGGTACTGGTAGTCTCAATTTGCATTAGTTGCGCAGCAGTAACCAAGTTCATATTTTAGAATATTATTATTACATTAATGTCTTCCCAAAGTAATTCTGAGAATATTATTTATTCCAGAACCAGGTAGCTAGCTTTAGGTACATACCAATGAGTCGGGGAGTAGACGGCCATCAGAGATTCTTCCAGTGGGCTTTTCAAGAAGGTCATCCCGTAGGGCCAAAGAGTCCCCGTAGGAAACCCACCTTCATTTGCGGGAAGATACGGATTGTTGCCTGTGCAAAGAGTGAATCTCCAAAGACAAACAAGAGCTTATGATTTTTATATCATACATTCCGTCGCGCTAGAAAGGGTTACATAAAAGTAACAATAAGTAGAGAACAAACTTGCTTCGACTTGCAATCAATACACAAATCACAATTACACACTGTAGTTGTTTTCTTTGCTTTGAGCCTTCCTTGCCATATTATAGTGGTATTGCTGTTAGATCTTTTTTCTTAAAAAAAAAAAAAAAAAAAAAAAAAAAAAAAAAAAAAAAAAAAAAAATCTTGCACCATATCACGTGGTTAATTTTCTACATTTGTGCTAGCTAGGGTTTATGGTGCCAGAAAGGATTACACATGTAAATAGTCAAGTAAGACCATTTTTATTTCTCAAGATGTCTCTATTTATGAATTTGATTTATAAGTTCAATAAATTGCAAAAAGAGTCCTCATTTCATGTGCTTTTCGATTATATATACGTTATCCTCTATAAACATACCATTGGTAGATGAACAACAAAATTAAATTCATTTAAATAAGTACAACCAAAACGAGATCACATGTATCTATTATGAATATAAGAATTTTTTTTTTTCTCTGAATTGACATTTGCTTGATGGTAGACCACTGGTTCGTCTTTGCATAAACTTCCACCTCAAATTATATCATGGTATCAGAGTCCAAATCAGTTGAACTGTGCTTGACCAGCGGATGAGAAGTTAGAGCCGACAACTATCTCCAGTAAACAGAATGACCCAACATATGGGCCTGACCATGAGGTGGAGTGTTCGAGTCCACACCGACTAGGCACGTTCAAGCTTACGGTTTATAAGAGGGAGTAATCTCCTATTCAATAAAGTCTATTGGGTGAGGAGTCAGATCCACCTCAAATTTTATCAGAATTAGAGTTAAATTGTCTCTGGATTATATGTATTTTGATTGGTGGTCCTATATACTTGTACAAATTTATCAATTCAATTTGAATTTTGTTAAACCTAGCAAACTTTTATTTTATTATTATTATTATTATTATTATTATTTGATAATGAGGTGTCCAGGTTAACTTACGTGACCTTAACTAATCCGAGATTTTATTGAACACCCTACAAGCCCAATGGACCGTGTAAGTCACAAAATGGTAGGTGACTACTTTGTATACATACCGTTGGTGGATGAATAACATGTTCGGATATTATGACTGTTTTCTATTGTTCTAAAAATGTGTATGTCTTTAGGAAAATTATTAATAAAGAATACGATTACAAATAGAAATAGAATATGAGGGTCATATTCGAAATTGAAGTGTAATCCTATTAGAAATAATGTCTCTCTACACTATAAATATAGGAGTGGGAATCAATTCAAGGTTACCAGAGAATATGAGAGTACAAGATATAGGATGTAAAGTTGTTAAACATGTAAAGTGTCTTAGAAACTAGGATTGTAAGATTGTTTCCGCTCTAAGCACTGGGTTGAACTCTATTAATTATGTATTGACCATAGGATTTCTCTCATTCGTGGATGTAAACGAGTTATATCGAACCACGTAAATATCGCATCTCTTTATGCGATATGACTTTATTCTTACACATTAATCCGAATGTATATTTTCCATTGCACGATCTTGTAGCACAAAAAATAAATTCATTTAAATAATTACTAAAATTAGATCATATGTATCTACTATTATTAATAATAAGAAAAAATCCCTGAATTCACATTTGCTTGATTGTGGACCACTGGTTCATCTTTTGCATAAACATCCAAGAATTTCCTTGCGGTGGTCAACAAATTTACAGTTGAATTGAATTTCTGTTGAACCTAACTAACTGTCTCCATTATCACCATTCTTATGAATTTTCTGTTGTAGAGAATTTTGGCTCGTTTTTCATACGATCATTGAATGAAGCAGTATAAGGTGATCTTACACGTATTGGTTTTAGAAACCAAACAAAAATATGCTTTGCAAGGGAGAGGTGAATCGACATATTTATATAGGACCACTGCTTCATTTTCACAGATTAGACAATTAATCACAATTAATGTTTTTGGACATAGGGATTATTATTCATTAATAACACTTATTCCATGTGGTGGTCCATAACATGTTACAACCTAACTTTTTTTTTTTTTTTTTTTTTGGGTAACTATAATGTTTGGGTTAATTTATGTACAATCAACTAATCTCTCAGATTTATTGAATACACTACAAACCCAAATGACCAAGTAATCCACAATATTATTGTAATAGGTGACCCCAAAGTTTAAACTCAGAACTCAGAAAGGGAGCAAATCTCGATTGTCAGCTTAGGGTTTTTATAACTTAATTCTTCACCATTATAGATTTAACTTTCTTCACCACTAAGATTGAATTTTATATTAAAAACAAAGAAATAACAATCATATATGTCTTTAGAGATTTTTAACTCGTTTTCGGTTAGTTTCTTTTGTGTCGATGTGCATCTTTTGCAAGAACAAATAAAATTGATTTTGCATTAGCTTACGTGAATGGAGAAGAGTGGTCCAGCTTTCAAGTCAAAACAGTGGCAAAACAAAGCTAGTTTAAAGGAGGAAAGAGTTTAACTATATATATACATATATAGTATCACAACAGTCTATTAATTGACAATATGGGACAAATTTAACTTCTAACACTGAATATATAAATAAAATTCACTTTGTGAATAGATATCTCATGTCTTACAATGACAAATTATGAGATAGATAGAAACGAACGGACTATATTGAGTCGAGAATACAAATAGTACAAAGAATAGTCAATCTATGGTATGATTCATTGAATCAAGTTCTATAACATGATGTATTTCATTGCGAATCCAAACAAAATATGTCAAGAGGGATTGATTCATGCATTGAAGTTTCACAAGGTTAAACTGAATTTTCTCGTGGGTGGTAGGTCTATATAGTCTACGAATTTATTGCTTGAATTCAACTGTTGTTAAACCTAACTTTCTTTAACATTATCCATATCTTTGATAAAACATCGACTTTCATGACAAAATATCATCAATCTTGCATATGGTCCTAAGTAGAGATACGTATATAAGTATTATTTTTTATCCAATCATATCCAATTAACTAGTTTAGTACCACATTTTTTTTTTTTTTTTTTTTTTTTTTTGGTGACTAGGGGTGTCTGGGTCAGTTTTGCACATCCGAAACCCCGAGTTTGAAGTTAACAACGGTAAAACCTTTTAGTGGGACCCTTATAAGCAATCAAGCAGAATCAAAATAAGACCTCTGAGTAATACACCCCAGAGTCCCCTCACCCCACCTGCTACCGGGAATGGTTAGTACCACATTTTTTCCTACGAAGGGTGACTTGAAATAAGAGAATCGATTTGAGTATAATGTAGTCATGTTGATAAACTATTCAACCCAGAGCTTGAACTATGAAATAAGGATCAAACATAATATGAAGTTTAACGCAAGGTTTTAAAACCCGACCCGACCGGCGACCACGACCAACAATGGTGGCTGGGGTGGGGTTTTGAATAATACAGGCGATGAGTCTAAGGTGGCGATAGAGGTGGTTTTCGGTGGGTGAAATTATAAAAAATTGCAAAATGCATGGCGCCTTGCTAGCAATTGAGGATGACAATCGAGAGCAATTGGGGCTAGGATGTTGGGAGTTTTGAAGAGGAATGGCAAATGAGTCTAAAGATGGTGATGAAGGCAATTTCCGATGAGTGAAACGACTAGAAATCGCAAAAATAGTGAGGTGGCAAACACAAACTGTTGTTGGCGATTGGCGAGCGAGAGTGGGGGTGGGGTGAGATGGGTTTGGCTAGGAGGCTAAGGAAAGTGTTTTCGTGGTGATGGGGAGTGTTGTCGACATTGGAACAGGTCATTTGGCCTGGGTGTTGATTGCCGATTGCATTTGAGGGTTTTTTTGCAAGATTTCAAACCATAGGAACTTATAGAATTTTAAGTGTGTTTTTACTAGATTTTAAACTTTTTTACATGCTGACATTACCAGTTTGACCGACGGGTTTTAAAACATGGTTTAACGTATATAAACAGGATATCCTCAACCGCCTCTCATCTACAATGTCCAAGTTTGAATACTTGATACTTTATTTCCCCATATGCACAAGGCTACATCAATAGGCAAAACTGAAGAACAGGCCCTCATGTCATCTCACAATTTGTGAATTTGGATTCGCTGTCAACAATGTATGTGAAACACGTGTGAAAAGGGA